GAACAAGGTTATCAGTTTTGGTATATCACAGGTTACAAGTTGTTGTAAAGAGATCTCTTGAAGACTTCAAAGTTTAGGCTAAGCTGAGGCTTTATATTTTACCAAATTACATTAAATATAAATCAGAAGGTACCACAAACGCCAATAAGAATAAAGATGCTCGATGAGATTTCATTATTCAATTATTTATGGAAAAATGAAACCGCGATACCAAAATCGTGTAAGCAAATTAACGCCTTAACACAAATAACAAAACATGGAGGCACCAGCATTTTATTGAACTGCAGGCAATAGGTACAAGAATACATGTGTGCCTGAAGTCAGACAGTTAATAATAATGTTGTTTAACTGTGATGGTGTCAAAAATTTTGATTTCTGCAAGAGAGATTCTTTTCTTTGTACTCTCCGCAGCGTAATTACATTATATAAATTATTGAACAACAACGCGTTACTAAGATATCTTGAGATATCTTGACAGATTGTAAGCTTCATCGTCGATCTTGTATTTTTCTTTCAGTGCTTTTAGCCTTAATTTAAGTTTTTACATTTTTGCACTCCCACTCGCCGTTCCGTAACAAGCCGACAATCAAAAGATTTTCCTTCCGTGAGCTATTTCTAAAACGGAACTTTCAACGTAAAAAGCCCGAAGCAGTTTTCACTGCGACTTAAGAACGGGGCCGCACAGCAGGCCCGAAAATACTGTTGTTTCTATTTTACGATTCTCATTTCAATCCTCTCTTGTCATTCAAAACAAACACCTTTATGTACCAGCAACTATTCTGCACGGTTATTAATATTTTAACGGGCCGTAACTAAGATCTATTAAACCACTGATCGATTGCATGTTTGATAAATGTAAAAATTTTAATTTTTTTTTTTTTTTTTTTCAACATGTCATTATTACTTATCTACCGATCAAGCAAGAATCCGGTTTTATCGCATGCAGGCATTGCTATAGTTTTCATGTTGCGCAGCCAAAGTTCAGGGCTCTTTGTAAACCGGCAAAATATCTGGGAACTGACACAGACAAAATATGCTTGGATGATTCTATCAACATTTTAGAATGCAGCTGGGTCCTTATATCTAAGTAACCAATCTACCGACGAATTATGTATGTTGTATGTATGTATTTCACCGTATATCTTATGCGGTCACCCTCCATCATATCTATGGATGAACGAAACGCCGACAAGCAGGCTTACACAGCTAGAACCCAGGACTAAAAAAAAATACAGCCTATTTTTTAACCTGTTTCTCACGTTTCCTTTGTAATAACGAATAAAAAGGCTACTATAAAATAAATATTAGTTAGGTGAAATCAATTAAAATGGGATAATTTTTGCTAATGGTTAGTGCATGGTCTCCATCGACACTCTTAGCTTCGCGTTAATTTAATGCCGGTTTTTAACAGATCTTGGAGAGCGACAAAAATAGAATTAGCTACAGAACACTTTCCTTGTGTTCAAGATTAAAGTAAAAACCTTGTGAAATTCCTTTGGAAGCAAACTTGATTAATAGGCCTACGCACGTAAGTCTTGGTTGTTAATTAACAATTACACTACGAGCGCGAGTTGCTGTTAGCGAATAGGCAATGAGGGCGAGTAATCTGATTGGGTTACTTGACACCCTAAAGGATTAATGTACTGTTTATATTTTTACCGGGGCAAAAATAACTTACTCTTTGTTTCACTTTTGTCGTTCATCTGTTGAAGACCCAGATAATAACTGGAATTCCGCAGTTGAAACTTCGCGATCTACATCAGAAGTGATGCAAGTGACCACATCGTGAGAGATAAACGATTATTGCTAATTATTATTGTTCTTTACCACGATTAAGGACCACAACCTTTTTCAACGACACCACCTATTGTTGAATCAAATTTACTTGTCTTCCTTTATACTTTACTAGCTTGACATACTTAACCTAATCATCAAGCCACTGAAGTGCATAAAGAAAGAAAAGTAAAAATGGCTTTGCAACAGGTAATGTTAAAACATCAACCCACGCAGTGTAGCCATTCATTTTTCACCGCCAGCGGCCGCCAGTTTACATTTGTCGTTTTAGAAAATTAACGCAGTGGGAGGAAGCGGAAGTGACGTCATTGTTTGTTTTTGTTTTTGTTTTTTTTTCACAACAGCAACAAGGAAAATTTCATCCATGCAAACAAAAAGCCCAAACTTAACAGTATAAAAGAATGAAAACAATAAAGTAGGTTGGAAAAAAATTCACATACTCGACGGGTAGCATTAGCTAGTCGAGACGGGAGGTAAAGTCGAACTGGTTTATTCCCAGTGTTTAGTTCACTTGAGCAAAATAATAACAACAATACTTGGGAAAATACGACTTGAAACAAACATCGCCACAGTCACGATTTCATTTTTTTTTTTTAAACTTGATAAATTATTAATGAGTTTGAGAAGTTATGATGCTGTGTAAAATCGGTTTCAATACTTTGACTTCTAATCATTGGCAAGATTTTATCGCTAGCAAAAAAAAATTTCTGGCATTTTTCTTCCTCACTAAGAATTTTGCTCTTTGACGATATTTTCTTCTTTGCAAAATGACGTTAAAAAGTGCACCAAACTGTTGGTAAAAATGGCGATATATTGGTAATAGCCTTTATGCTTTTTTTTTTTTCGCAAAATCATTAAATACTCATCAGGTTTATTCAAAATGATGATCGTGACGGTGCTTGGATATCTTATCTTTATTAGCATGCATTTTTACGATCCTAAATTTTTTCGTTTTCTCATTTGTTTTTGTTTTGATTGAGAAGATATATCGAACAATCAACACAGTGTCTCACCACAATTCTGAACATCTCAAAATTCGTCAAAAATACTCGGCTACTCGTCGTATTTTCAACTCTCTTCTCGGTTGGTTTGGATATGTGGTCAAACAGGGTCTTTCGTGTTTGATATATCACTCAACGTCCTGTGTAACTTCGTTCAAGACTTGAAAAAAGTGTGTATGCAAGCAGTAAACAGTTCCCCTTGTGCTCATTCCAAAATGATGGTCTGATTTTAAAACTACAGGAAAACATGTTTTAATATCATTAATATTTCATGTCTGAGTTTTTCAATGAATCTTACCGTGTAATTGCGCAACCTGACGGCATTTTTCCCCCTGCTGTGGGTATTGTGATGAAGAAAAATAAAACTTTAACCATCAAGTTTTTCTCTCTTTTCGCGATTCGAAAAATACATCATTAAATTGATGCAATCCGTTTTATTATTATTTTAGAATTATTACCGATAAAAAACGCCATATCCAGGTTTAAAAGTTCGACAAATAAAATGTTCACCTTGATAATGTTTTATGCTTTTACGCGCGACATCGTAAAGCAAAATCCCATTTCACCTAAGATGGCACTTTGCCCGACGGGGTATATTTTAACTCCAACTGGCCAGATACTTAATTGTAAATGCTTCTAGTATTATAATAATTGTTTGTGTTGCAACTCTTCTCGGGGTTTGTAAATTTAAATGAGAAAAAAGTAGATTGAAGAATCTTAACTGCTGCACCGTGTAAAATCATGATTGAAGTCAGTTATTACATGGACTGGTAGGTAAAATGAACAAAATTGAAGAATATATTGCTATATCTTTTAAAATGTTTTTAGCGGTTCTGCGAAAAGTTGCTTTAATTGATTATGAAGTTTCAATTCAACATTGAGAGATGTCCTTTTTATACAGAAATGCAAATTGCAATGCGCGAGAAAGGCTATTGAATATAGATGTTCTCATGTCTACAAGAAAAAAAAAAACAGAAATTGCTTTCGTGATTACAAAATTCATAACAGTTTTGAGATTCATATTCCAATTCCAGTGTAGAACGAATTCACACAACTGCATAAAGTTCATTATTTCAGTCCTAGCATTAATTATATGAACATGTAGTGTCGAATTTAAATACCTGTTTCTTGACGAGATGTAGCAATGTCGGTTCTTACTCCATGACAGTCAAATATATCTTGTTAAATAACATAAATAAATCATAGATTAGTCGATCTGTTCCGGTTCAATTTTCTTGTGTTTCATTAAGCAGAAGGCTATAAGGTCTTAGACACAATCTGTAGGACAATTGTAGAAATATAACTTGGCAAATCGACAAAGAAACTACGGCAAAATCCGAACCTATTTTTTGTTACCGATTAAGTAACCGTTCGTTGAAAATTCCAGATAGCTTTATTTCAATTGAAATCGGAGGTCACGAACTCAATAATATCGAATGTCACGCTGAGCCTTTGTCATAACCTATAGGCACCCTCGTGGTCCGTTAAGCATTTGCGTGTCGCAGACAGTCTAAACTGCTGGTAATGTCTTTATAATGACGCCTCCGGCAGCACAGCAGGCCACTTGAGCATCTGCTTCAAAAGAAGCAATTTTCTTGTCGGCTGTGGTTTCAAGGTCTTTCAAGACCAAGCTCGAAAATTATGAAAAGATCAAAGACAACACGCTGTTTAAGTCAACACTTTGCATCTGAACGATGGCTTCTAATGTTTGCTTAAATTTTCCATTGTAATGTTGGCTTTGTTTTTCACCTTCTTAGAAATTTCCTTGTAGGGATATGCGGCCAAACTTTCAATAATGTAGCATTCAGTTGATAGGGATATTTCGTTTAATTAAGTACATGAAATTAATTGATTTGCCAGGGCCAACCCATTCCTTGTTGACACAAGAGGCCGCCGTGGAAGCCGTATGCAAAATATTACATTTTGTGTAACTTTTCTGACTATTTTTTTTTCTTATAGTTTCGAGTCAGGTAGTTTGTTGTGTACCTTAAGACGACCGAACTACAAGTCAGGTGCAAGTATAAAATGCCAAAGGCTCGAAGACTCACGCAAACTCATCTTCCCACCACGGTACAAAGCGGGGGAGGGGTAATGGATCTGAACCCCCCTCGGGCTGTGATATATTAACAAATTTCGGTGTCCCAAATGGATCCATGGACTGCCTGGCAGAGTGTGGATAGTTCAAAAGTTATAATTTGTAAATAAGTCGAACCTCCACCACTAACAGCTACCACTCTACACCGGCGACTCTTTTTGGTCTTGACGGACAGTCCATCAATTCACTATAATTTTAACGCTGTCTTGCTCAGAGTTACGCGTGCTATTGTTTGTTTTTTCGATGGTGTATCCTCATTCAAAACTTAGCACTGAGGAGGGACTGCAGGCCCGAAAAATCTGCCTGATATTTTGACTTTTGGTATAATTTTACTAAGAGCGGCTTTTAATTGAGTGTCGTAAAACCAACTTCAAACCAGTTTCTTACCAATTAGACTATACTCAGCCAATCTCAAACTGTAGTCAAGCCAAAACCAAAGTAAGGCCTACAGTAGATAACTTACAATTATATACTGATCGTCTTGACGTCCTGTTACGTCATATCACGTCATTAAGTCTGTGTTTTTATACTTCACGGGCTATCTTCTTAGAAAGCTAGAAAATAACGTAAACTTATAGAAAAATTAGGCCGTCGATAAAACCAGGAACATGGAATATCCCGGAATTATGGAATGTTCCGGGATGTTCCGGAATGTTCCATGTTCCTGGTTTTATCGACGCCCGAAAAATTATTGCAAAATGATAATCATATGAAAAGTAATTCTCACATACCCAAATACTAATAGATGGGCAATAAAATGAAGAAAAGAAAACGAAATAATAATTTTGCCTGTCAGCGATGGAATTTGCAGTTTTAATGAACGGATACAGTTGTTGGAATTGAAGTGTCTGGAATAAATGACAATATTTTTACTTGGTATGTTTTTTGACCGCATTGGCGTGCCGAAAACTCCGCTGGAATCGCTGGTTAGCGTAAATGTGAACACTAAAGTAGTTCGCTTTGAATAAGGCGGGCCTTTTCGTTTCATTACATTTTTTTTTAAAGAAAAAGTTACGCTAACGAAATAAAACATGAAGCTTTTAGCTACTGTTATAACCTTACCGATTTAGCGTCAGATGGTGTTTGTTAACCTGACTTGCTTCAACTGGATATGTAAGCCTATGCTTATTTTAGATTCTGATACCTTGCAGGTCTTTAAATCTTCATCATTGTTAATTCGTTGGTCTTGCAGTGGACATCTCTTTACGACCTAAACTCAATCGAAACGTTTTGCAAGAGTAGTCAGCAACGTGTCATAAAACAACATCATCA